TGTTCATTTTTACACATATTCTATTCGACTGTTGTATCTTCCAACCTATCACCCCATGCCCTTTTGAACTTAAAGGGAGTGTGTCATGACGAGACTATGTTTCTTTCCCATGGCCCTACTCGGGTACAATACGATTACGGACGACACGACCGCAGCATGCATGTGCGTGTAACATGCACGAAACCAAAGCCTGAAGAAAACTTCGGTCTGTTTCGCGAACGCTAGCGCGCTGATTTACTTTAGCGCGCACTGACCCTGTTAAACAAGTCCAATCGTTTACGTGCAGTTGTCCAAAAAAAGACATAGATGGCGTTAACCAGTATTTTCCTCACCAAGGTAATCAATCACCCTTCGCTCAAGAATATAAAGGTTTAGAGAATGTAGGAGTTTTCAAACTCAAGGCAAATGCATTTCCATTTCCAAATGTCATTCAAGCTATACAAAAAAGGCTGAAAATAATTACCATACGTGCTATAACAAGACATTATTATTACCCCTCATGTCCCCAGAAACAATACACGTGTTATAATGTCCCTAACATGTGCTCCAATATAAATGATTGAGAGACATTTTTCAGACCGTCACACACAACAGCAAAGTATGGTGTTGAAGCAATTGTAATTAGACAATCTTCATGATCTCACATTTTTAATTTTACGCTTTGAGAGTATCCCCTATAGGTTCCCCTTCTTTTCCAGGCAATGCCCCATTAGGTTGGTGCCCCTCCCCCTCCCCCTTCTGAAAGACACTCTGTTACCCCTACCATGCCAAATATATGATTCACAACATACAGCTTTCTCCATCTCATTGGGCACGAGATACGTATTCAGTTGTCTGGTTTTCTGTGCACATGCAAAGCCCCTCAATATGGGTTCTCGTCAGATATAGCAAATCATAAAGCAAACAGAACCTCTCCTAAATCGTGCAAATTAGAATTGATGCCCTAATGACATAATGCCATAAAATCTCTTGTTTTTCTTCTTTTTACCATACTTAGGCAGATTTCATTTAATAGCTGTAGTTCTTCATATTCGCTATATTGCAAATCATACATTTGAGAGGGTTGGTATGGGCATGAAAGATAGAATGAGAGAGAGAGAGAGAGAAAGAGAGAGAGGGGGAGATAAAGAGAGAACGAGGAGAGTGAGATAGAGAGAAAGCAAGAAAAAGAAATGGAGATTAAAAGAGAGATATGGGTGAAAGAGAGATAGGGGAAAGAGAGAGAGAGAGAGCAAGAGAGGGGTGGGGCTATGCCTGGACATGCTTTCATTACAATAGGTATATGGTACACCATCTTTCATGCACATGCATACCCTCCATTATACACTATCTTTCATGCCCATGCACACCCTCTCTAATACACTATCCAGTACCATAAGTACTCCTCTCATACTCACATGCTACATGTATGATTTGCAATATACATAATGCCTTTTCCGTCTCACTAGGCAAGAGATATGTATTCAATTGTCAGGTTGCCCGGCTACCATAAAAAGCAAATCCCCTGATATAATAGTTTCATTTTCATATGAAACGGGTTCCTTACACAAAATATCAAAAGCATGACTCAAGTTCTTTGAGCATATATGAACCATAAATCAAAGCCAACTTTTCACTAATTTCTAAACCGTTCATTAACAAAGCGTTTCTAGTCTGTGTCATCTATTACCTGCAGTTGACTTATCATGATTACGCATTAATAACAACAATAATATCAGTATTGTAGAGCAGGGGTTCTCAAACCTTTTCCTTAAAGGTAAAGACCTGTTTTGGAAACGCCCCCCTCAAAAAAAGAAATGGAAGCTCTTATTACCAATCATGTGAAAGAATATGTTATTACTAATACGTGATCATACAAATTTTGCCCAGAAACCGCCTACTAATTGATATATTTGGTAAATTTGTATATCTATTTGGACCTGATAGATATAACACACGTGTCGTGCACGTGTGGGGGTAGTCCCATATACATCTTTCAGTTTACAGTGCTTGTAACTTTGTCAAGACTGGGCCAAATTTCTTATCATTTTGATGATTCCAGACCCTTGCAGTACACGCCAATACTTATAGGCTAGATTATCAACCTTTTCTGATCGATTCCACAACGTGGATGTGATTTTCATGAAAGCTAAAGGGTCCGAAACGTGGTATGCCATTCGCGCAAAAGTTATTCCGTTCATCCGTATACGTCCAGTGGAGTAGCAAACTAACGTTACTATTACATGCTGAGAAGTGTGGACATAACTCAAACATTACTGAATTTCGACTCAGAAAATCTTCTCATAACATTTGCATTAATTACACTCGTAAGATATATAGTGAAGGAAATAAGGAAATTAGGGTTGGTTTCTTTCTGATATTTTGACCAAGCTGAAAAGAGGTGAGCCTTGACAATAAAGATAGTGAATCAGACATACATGATCGATTTGCAGCATACTATGCTTTGACATGTCGTTTTTCAAAAGGTTCATTATTCTGAAAGGTTTGATATTCATAAGGTTTGAAATGTGATTAATGTTTCAGAAAATGAAAAAGAGGTTCCAATTCCGAAAAAAAAGAAAAGTCAGCATTGTCCCTTCTACAACGGGTTGCTGACTTTCGCGCCATGATGACACTCCCACTCTCCACTTCTTCTTGCCTTGACAACCTCCAACCTTACTGCTTTCTTTCTTTATCACATTTCTCCATGAAAGTTGAGGTATCCCTTTCCCTCGTTTGACGCCCACTTCCTGATCCCATGCTTTGGTCACAGATGCATTAGCTTCCCTTCTTTACACATGACCCATCCATCTCAATTCACTTTTCTGTACCATTTCCAAGTCAGTTTCTTCCAGATCCCACATTTCCATGAACTAACTTGTGTTTCCACGCCACACGTCTTCAGTGTGGTAGCTATTCTACTGTCTCTACTTCCAAGGCTTCTGAACCACATATCGTCACTTTTCTAACACAAGCCTTATATATCTTGCCTCGTATTCTCATCGTTAACCTTATACCAGCTAAGATCGAGGTCAATTCGTTAAACTTCATCCACCCAATCTGCATCTTCTTGCCAATGGAATCTCACATCCCCCACTGACGTTAATTGTATACCTAAGATAACAAGTAGTATCAATCTTCTCAACATCCGTTCTTGCTCCACATTACTCCATTACTAATCTCTCTGCATTTCTTGCAATCAGCCATTTTGTTGGAAGGTTTCACTAGTCCAGCTAATCTTGCATAAACCCACTTGTACATGACATGCATCTGATAGGGTTCCTCATCACTTGCTATAACCACATACACTACAATCATCTATAATGTTTTATTCCACTGATATTGCCCCGCCACGTGCTTTCATCACCTTTGTCTTTCAAGTGTTGACTTTAAGGCCCCTGCACTAATAAATTCTTCCAGTTTGTAAAATCCCTCTCCAGCTGGTGCATTGGTTTAGCCATCAAAATGAAGTCACTTGCATACAACTTGTTTAATAAAACATCTTTCTTTACTGACTCTAATAAAACATCAATCTCAGTAGACAACAGTAGTGGATGCACTACTGATCCCTGATGTATACCCACTCCAACACGAAAACCCGCTTTCAATTATCTGTTCCTTAAGTCTTTAAACACCCATGATAGCCCACACTATATCCATAATTCTGGAGCTTCTACTTCCTTAGCATCCACAGCACCATTCCAAACATGAAGAGAGAAGAATAAGAGACAAAACACCAAGATAATGAGGAAAGTGATGGTGTTTTCTATTACAAACAGATACTCTAGGCTATCAAAGTGTAGAAAAGGGCAACATTCTCTTTTTATCTGAAATATAAATGCTGCACCCCACATATGAGTGTGACTTATTCAGAATATGGGGTTATAAAAACTAATTGTATTTCACAGTTTCTTTTACACAACATAAATCCCTCAATTCAAACACTTTTTCTTGATTAAACAAATTATATATGTTATCATGCCACACACAGAAAAAAAAATCAGGTTATGTGATGGATGAGTCATTTCAAGTTATCCATTATGAATTGATGTCTTTTTACAGGATGCGCATTTTGGGTAAAAACAATATACAGGTACAGTGAACATGTTCTGTATATAGCAATTCTCACACGTATGAGTAGTATTTGTTCATGGGCCAAAAAGTGATATGGCCCCACCCCCTTACTCAGATGTTTGCCTAAATATTCGATATTACGTTAGGATGAAGGGCAACGAAATCAAATGTAGTGTATGATACCGTAGACGGCTTTTTAAGATAAATAAATGGATTACAAAGCGGATGAAGACTTTTTCAAGCAAACATGTATGTCACCAGAAAGGATGATCGCGTTTTGTGAAACCTCATAAAATGAAGCAAAATCAAGACGACGAATGATGAAAATTATAACATTCAGAAAGACTTCTTTTTCGTGTCTTTAGTGGTTTCAAAATATCTTGATTACGTTGATTTCCAATAGGACAAAGTGCAAGACTAAAATCTTTCTTACGTCTGTATTCATTGTTATTCTTCGACTTTGTCACTATCATCTCTTTGAAATCCAGGGAAGTGTTTCACAAAGATCGTAAGTTGAACTTATCTCTAAGTTGGACTTAACAATTATGGAAAGCCATTGGCATCTATGAAAATAATTTGTAACAATTATTTTAAAAGGCATAAAATGTTGATTCAAATCGTTCATATTTTCTATTATCAAAGAGATTTCATGTTCTTGACGTGGAATTTATACAAATTCTAAAATACTTGAATTATTGCTTTTGAATATATTTTAATTTAAGGCTACAAGTCGCGCTCGATAACGTTTCAGTCTTATTTAGAGTGAAGTTCGACTTAGGATCTTAGTGACCCCCCCCCCTCCCAAGAGTATGTTTCATTCATCTTTGTACATCCTGTATTGTCCTGGTTCATTTAAATCTAAATATTGAGTTTCATTGCTTTCCTTCTTTGTTATTAAACAGATAGCGAGAGAGAATACACATACCGATAGAGAAGACAGAATGAACATGGCGCTTTCTACAGCGGTGAAGGACGGTGATCTTGTAAAGACAAGGTCTATTCTGGAAGACGAGACAGGTGATACTAAGCTAGTAATGCTACGCAGTGTGGATTCCGATGGAAAGACACCCCTCCACATCGCTTCAGAAGAAGGACATATTAACCTCGTGAAATATATGACTGATTTGGGGGCGGATATAGAAAAGAAAAGTAGAAGTGGCGACGCCCCTCTTCACTATGCGTCTCGGAGTGGTCGCCAGAATGTTGCTCAATATCTCATCGGGGAAGGAGCAGATACCAATATTGGCAATAACAATGGCTATACACCTCTCCATCTTGCTTCGGAGGAAGACCATGTTGGTGTTGTAGAATGTTTAGTAAAATCTGGAGCAGATATAAACAAATTTTCATGTGATGGTTCTACACCCCTTTATACTTCAGCAAGACAGGGTCGTCTTGCTGTGGTGAAATATCTCATAACTCAAGGAGCAGACATGACATTAAAGGGATGTGAAGGTAAAACTTCTCTTAGTACTGCGGCTTCCTGTGGTCATCTCGATGTAGTTAAGTATCTCTTAACTGAAGGTGCAAATATCAACATGGATGACAACAACAAGTACACACCACTTCACGCTGCATCAAGAGAGGGTCACCTTCATGTTGTTGAATGTCTGGTGAATGCAGGAGCTGATATAAATGAAGCATCTCATAACGGTTACACTCCGCTGTCAACCGCATTAAAAGAGGGAAATCAGGGCATTGTGGAGTTTCTCATAGTTAATGAAGCAGATATTGGCAACATCAATGACGTCGGTCCACTTGTGCTTTCGAAAGCATCATCAGAGGGATACACCGACGTTGTAAGGTATATCATAACTAAAGGGGTAAACTACGATTTGGGTGATAATGATTGTTTGACACCACTACATCACGCGTCACAGAATGGTCATCTCCAAGTTGTTGAATGTCTGGTGGATGCAGGAGCAAATGTCAACAAATCATCCAATAACGGACACGCACCTCTCTATACTGCATTGATTAAAGGTCACCTTGACATTGTAAAATATTTTATCCTTACATCGGCAGATATTGGGATCAGAGATGACATCTGCACAAACGCAATTCGTCATGCGTTTATTTATGGGTATCACGATGTTTTAAAATATCTCATCGGTAAAGTTGATGACCTTGATAGGTGTGATGTTGATGGTAACACACCTCTTTATCTTGCATCAAAGACAGGCCTTTTCGACCTTGTTGAGTGCATCGCGAATAAAGGAGCAAATGTGAACAAAGCATCAGGACATGATGGTCTCACGCCCCTCTACGCCGCTTCACAAGGAGGATATCTCGAGGTAGTTGAGTGCCTCGTGAATAAAGTAGCAGATGTGAACAAAGCATCGGGACATGATGGTCCTACGCCTCTCTACGCCGCTTCACAAGAAGGCTATCTCGGGGTAGTTGAGTGCCTCGTGAATAAAGGAGCAGATGTGAACAAAGCATCAGGACATGATGGTCTCACGCCCCTCTACGCCGCTTCACAAGGAGGCTATCTCGGGGTAGTTGAGTGCCTCGTGAATAAAGGAGCAGATGTGAACAAAGCATCAGGACATGATGGTCTCACGCCCCTCTACGCCGCTTCACAAGGAGGCTATCTCGGGGTAGTTGAATGCCTCGTGAATAAAGGAGCAAATGTGAACAAAGCATCAGGACATCATGGTACACCGTTACGTGGAGCAACGGAAGGGGAACATATACTAGTTGTGACATACCTCATATCTAAAGAGGCAGATCTAAATACATGTTGTGCTGATGATAATAACTATACCCTTCTTCATATTGCTTCAAAGACAGGTCACCTTGATATTGTTGAGTGTCTCGTAAATGCAGGAGCAGATGTAAACAAGGTATCACACGATGGTTATGCACCACTAGCCATAGCATTACGTTATGAACAACGGGAAATAGCAGAATTTCTCATGGCAAAGGAAGCAGATCTGGGACATACTGATAATTGCAATACTCTCCTCCAAAATGCAACTTCCAAGGGTAATATCGATGCTGTAAAGTATATCATACGTAAAGGAGTTGACGTTTATACTGGCGATGGATATGGTTTTACATCCCTCCATTACGCGACACGAAACGGACAAATCGATGTTGTTAAATGTCTGGTGAATGCAGGAGCTGATGTCAAAAAAGCAGCAAAGAATGGCGAGAAATCTCTCTACACGGCGTCATATAAAGGTCATGTAGACATTGTAAAATATCTAATTTCTAAAGGCGCCAACCCGAATTGTGTTGAAAACGATGGTTATACACCACTGTACATTGCCTCACAAGAGGGTCATCTTGATGCTGTTAGATATCTAGTAAATGCAGGAGCTGATGTCAAGAAAGCAGCAACGAATGGCGCGACACCTCTTTATGCGGCATCATCTAATGGTACAGTAGACATTGTAAAATGTCTCATTTCTAAAGGGGCCAACCCGAATTCGGTTGATAACTATAGTTATACACCCCTGTACATTGCATCACAAAAGGGCAATATTGATGTTGTTGAATGTCTAGTTAATGCAAGAGCTGATGTAAACAAAGCAATAAAGAATGGCATGACACCTCTTCATGTGGCGTCAGATAATGGTGAAGTAGACATTGTAAAATATCTCATTGCTAAAGGGGCTAACCCGAATTCGGTTGATAACAATGGTTATACACCTTTGTTTATTGCCTCACACAATGGTTCTCTACAGGTTGTTGAATGTCTGGTGGATGCAGGAGCAGATATCAACACACCATCGAATAACGGACATGCACCACTCTATACTGCATTGATTAAAGGTCACCTTGACATTGTAAACTATTATATCACTAGAAAGGCAGATATCGGGATCAGAGATGACATCGGCACAACGGCAATTCGACATGCGTTTCTTAATGGTTACCTCGATGTTGTCAAATATCTCATCGGTAAAGTTGATGACCTTGATAGGTATGATATTGATGGTAACACACCTCTTTATCTTGCATCAGAGAAAGGCCTTCTCGACCTTGTTGAGTGCCTTGTGAGTAAAGGAGCAGATCTGAACATAGCATCAGGGCATGACGGATACACGCCCCTCTACGCTGCTTCACAAGGAGGCTATCTCGAGGTAGTTGAGTGCCTTGTGAGTAAAGGAGCAGATCTGAACATAGCATCAGGGCATGAAAGATACACGCCCCTCTACGCCTCTTCACAAGGAGGCTATTTCGAGGTAGTTGAGTGCCTCGCGAATAAAGGAGCAGATGTGAACAATGCATCCGGACATGATGGTCTCACGCCCCTCTACGCCGCTTCACAAGGAGGCTATCTCAAGGTAGTTGAATGCCTAGTGGATAAAGGAGCAGATGTGAACAAAGCATCAGGACATCATGGTACACCGTTACATGGAGCAACGCAAGGGGGGCATACACTTGTTGTGAAATACCTCATGTCTAAAGGTACAGACCTAAATACATGTTGTACTGATGATAATGAATACACACTTCTTCATATTGCTTCAAAGACAGGTCAACTTGATATTGTTGAGTGTCTCGTAAGTGCAGGGGCAGATGTAAACAAATTATCACACGATGGTTATGCACCACTAGCTATAGCATTACGTTATAATCAACATGATATAGCACAATTGCTCATGGCTAAGGAAGCAGATCTAGGACGTACTGATACTACCCTCCTACACGCATCTACCAATGGCTATATCGATGCTGTTAAATATATCATACGTAAAGGAGTGGACGTTAATACTGGTGATGGAGATGGTTTTACACCTCTTTACTACGCGACACGAAACGGACACTTTGATGTTGTTGAATGTCTAGTGAATGCAGGAGCTGATGTAAATAAAGCAAAACAAAATTGCGCGACACCTCTTTTTGCTGCATCAGATACTGGTGCAGTAGACGTTGTAAAATTTCTCATTTCTAAAGGGGCCAACGTGAATTCGGTTGAAAACGATGATTATGCACCCCTGTATGTTGCCTCCCAAGAGGGTCATCTTGATGTTGTTGAATGTCTAGTGAATGCAGGAGCTGATGTAAATAAAGCAAAACTAAATGGCGCGACACCTCTTTATGCTGCATCAGATACTGGTGCAGTAGACGTTGTAAAATGTCTCATTTCTAAAGGGGCCAACCCGAATTCGGTTGATAACGATAATTATACACCCCTGAGCGTTGCCTCAATTGAGGGCCATCTTGATGTTGTTAAATGTCTAGTAAATGCAGGAGGAGATGTAAACATAGCACCAAAGAATGGCATGACACCTCTTTTTGCTGCATCAGATACTGGTGCAGTAGACGTTGTAAAATGTCTCATTTCTAAAGGGGCCAACCCGAATTCGGTTGATAACGATAATTATACACCCCTGAGCGTTGCCTCACTTGAGGGCCATCTTGATGTTGTTAAATGTCTAGTAAATGCAGGAGGAGATGTAAACATAGCACCAAAGAATGGCATAACACCTCTCTATACGGCGTCATATAAAGGTCATGTAGACATCGTAAAATTTCTCATTTCTAATGGTGCGAACCCGAATACAGTTTATTCAGATTATTACACAACCCTGAGCATTGCCTCACTTGAGGGTGATCTTGATGTTGTTGAATGTCTTGTGAATGCAGGAGCTGATGTGAACAAAGCAGCAAAGAATGTTGATACACCCCTGTACGTTGCCTCACGCAAGGGTCATCTTCGCGTTGTTGAATGTCTAGTGAATGCAGGAGCTGATGTAAACAAAGCAAACAAAAATGGCACAACACCTCTTCATGTAACATCAGATAAAGGTGCAGTTGACGTTGTAAACTATCTAATTTCTCAAGCTGCGAACCCAAATACTGTTGATAACGATGGCTATTCACCTTTACATGCTGCTTCACAGAAAGGCCATCTTGATGTTGCTGAATGCCTAGTAAATGCAGGAGCTGATGTCAAGAAACCAGCAACTGATGGTGATCTACCACTTCATGCTGCCTCTCGTGGGGGCCACCTTGACATTATAAAATATCTCATTACGAAAGGAGCAGATATCGCGGCACGTAATAATTTCGGTTGGACAGTTTTTCATTTCACAGGATATAGTGGTCATTTGGAATGTTTAGAATATTTCTTGAGAAACAACGCTAGCGGTACATCAGGAAATAGTCACAGCGCTCTTGAAGTGGGACTTCAGGTATTATGCTCTATTCAAACTGATTTTACTTAATAGGCGGTTCGCGTTGGCCGAATTTTACCGCCAATTTGTTGTTTGGTGTCTTCACGTGTGCTATCTCAGTGGAAAATAGTAAAAATTGGGTTCCTCGGTTTCAGTAACCCGATTTCAGGCTTTCAGATACTCGAGTAAGGATTTAGAGGATTCTAATGAAAGAATAAAATCTAAAGGTTGAGAAAAAGTTGAATATACCTTTATTAAACCTCTTCCACACAATTTTAGAAAGTAACTATTGAGTCCACGAGTTACTTTTCTCATAAACTCAATGGCCCAAATTCACAAAGGAGTTTTACATTTTACCCATGGTTTAAACCTTCATTTACATAACCTGTGGTTTAAAATTAGCGCAAATTAAGCGTGGGTGTCTAATATTGGACCTCTGACTGTGTTGCGCTTACTGTTCGCTAATTTTAAACCACGGGTAATATGTAAATGAGGGTTTAAACCAAGGGTTCAATTTAAACCTCTTTGTGAATTCGGGCCAATATGTTCATGTAATTTAAACTAAACTGTAGCCGCGGGCAACTACCCCAAAGACGTAACTGGAAGGTAATTGTCCAAGGAATTATTGCCCTTGGTGTAGTTGCATGAGGATAATTGTTCAGTGGTAAACGACCGGGGATGCCTGCAATCTTATAAATGTCTCAATAACATGTCTGAGGTCGAGTCATGAATTTGATGTTAAAAGATTGGGAACAGTAGAAATAAGAATAATAACAAATTCATGTAGAAAAATAATTATGGTATTGGAGTTATAGATTCAGAATTTATCTGAAAATATGGAGTCCATGAGAACAATGAATAATTTACTAAAATTGGGTCGGAGTAGTACAAATAAACGATATTCAACTCTTCTTAACCTTAAGACTTTAATTTGTCATTGTATAGTTTAAATCTTTACTTTATTATGCGATTCCCTGAAATCTGGAAAATAATTTAGAGAGGGAAGCGTTTTTAACTTTCACATTGAGACAAACATTTGAAGACAACATAACAAGAAATTGGTGGCTAATTTCAGCCAGTTCGTCGATCCGCGCCGCTACTCGACCGTTTAGTAGTTACAAGCCATTAAAATATCAATAGGTGCAACAAATGTATGGCATTCACTCCAATGCAGTGGTTATAGTTTCAACATGTATCCCTATAATAAACATGTCCGATGTTTGAAAAGCTTAGATATTATTTTAACAAGGGATGGACTCTACGTTGATTTTCAACCTACACCAATGTAGTCCTTTGAATAAGCTTCAGTTGCTCTGGACGAAAGCAAAATACCAAAAATGAAACACCAAATCCGATACCGGAGAGGACATTAAACAGTGTTCTAAGTTGTGGGTATTTAGCACATACTTTGGGATTCGGACTGACTAATAAGATCTTACAAGTGAGGTATCTCCTTATTAAGCACAAAGCTTCTCAAATTTCATGTTCCCGAAATAATACTTGATTTCTAGCAGTGCTGAAGATATGTGAAAACAAGAAATATCATCAATACTTATGATAACATGTCAATCTTAATGTCGAAAATGTAATTTGTCAACACTTGTGGTATAACTTAAAAAAGATTTGCTATCAACACAATGACAATCCCAGTCAGTATGCTGTCAATATTCTTCCTAATTGTCTCTTATGAAGGGGAAAGTTTATTCATCGATGAAATTAGAGTAGGATTACATGTATATTGATGGGCCTACTGACAACTTAAGGCAGCGTACCGATATAATTTTTCTTACAGACCTTAAAAGGTGTCACGCCACTCATGGTTGCCGCAATGGGAGGACACCTGGACTGCGCACGTTTGCTACTCGAAAACAATGTAGATATTGAAAAAGAAGATGCAGAAGGTTGGACAACCCTGCATTATGCTGCAGCAAGGTAAACTATATTGATTGAACTACTAATTTTCTCCTTGACTGTATCATAAATATCACTATGATTCAATAGTAATATTTTTTTTTTTTTTAAAACGTTCATCATGTTTATGACAACAAATAACTGTTTTTAGTCTTCTTAACATAGGTTTTAACATGTTATTTCCTCGGATCCCATTTTAAGAGTCGGTTTATTAGCGGTTGCACCGGCCATGTAGATTACAAATGAATGAAACACAACCAATTACATCACCTTTTATTGAAAAAAAGTTATGTACTTTGAATCCGGAAAAAACATGATGTGAACATAGTTCGCCAGTTAGGTAAGTCTCAGACCAAATATAATTTCATCTATGATTTCAGAATCAAGCTGTTACTAATTATAAACAGATAATGTTAACCTGGAAGAAATAGACATTGACCAGAAGGTAGATGTTTTCAATAACTCTCTTGCGTCAAATCTTGATCGTCACGCACCAGTCAAGCAAAGGAAAGTGAAACTGCGTCCCTATGCTCCTTGGTACAACCATGAAATCCGGAAGGCTAAACAAGCTCTTCGTGCAAAGGAAAGGCGGTGGAAAAGACCAGGTGCTCATCTACAACAGTAGCATCTGACGACCTGAAGAAAGCAACGAGAGAATATAACCAGCTAGTCAATAACTTTAGGAGTCAGCATCTCCACGAACTCATATCCACTAGCAACAGCAAACAACTGTTTAATGTGATTGACAGGATGACAGCTGAAAAGCCTCCTAAATCACTGCCCTCACATCAGTCCAGTGCTGAAATCACTCAGAAGTTCTCAACGTTTTTTTTTTTTTTCTATTGAGGTCTTCATTTTCTTCCTCTTCCAACATCGCTGAAATGGAAGTCAGTGACCATCGTCTTGATAAGTTTGCGCCAGTTTCCCAAGCAGATGTACTGAAGATCATCAAGTCACATAAAATGAAATCATGTGACTTAGATCCCCTACCAGCACCCATTCTTAGCCAATGTATAGAGCTTCTGGTTCCGGCCATCACGGACATAACCAACGACTCGCTAGAATGTGGAGTTTTCCCTTCAGCACTCAAGTCTGTTTTGATTCATCCCACCCTCAAACGACCATCTTTGGATGCAGAAAATTTGAGAAACTTTAGACCAATCTCAAATTTGCCATTTTTGGGCAAGGTAGTAGAACGAGTAGTCTCAAATCAATTTACTGAATACCTTACTGCAAATTCCCTTCTCGCATCCCGACAGTCTGCCTATCGTAAAAATCACAGCGTGGAAACTGCGTTGCTTCGAGTCCAAGACGATATACTTCGTGCTTTGGATACTGGAGATGATGAGATTCTCATACTGTTAGACTTAACATCAGCTTTCGACACGGTCGATCACCGTGTTCTTATATCCAGGTTGGAAACACGTTTTGGCGTCTCTGGAACTGCTACCAAGTGGTTTGAATCTTACATCACTGGACGATATCAACAAGTGATCATCGATGGCTCGCGATCCGATCCTACTCTGCTTAGCTGGGGGGTGCCACAAGGTTCCGTCGTCGGCCCTGTACTTGTTACATGTTATACGACACCTTTAGAGGACATCATTCATTCCCACGGTTTCTCCTCGATGACATATGCCGACGACACCCAACTATATGTTACTGTTAAGTCTGGACAAATTCCTCAAATGTTACATAAACTGGAAGATTGTCTACATGCCATTCGCTCCTGGTTGACTAAAAACTTTCTGCTCTTGAACGACAACAAGATGGAAGTGCTACACCTGTTTTCTCACCGAAGAAGAAATACAATAGAACTCCCTCCAATTCAAATAACAAATGGTTCTGTAAATTCCTCCAAAACAGTTGTTAACTTAGGTGTTACGTTTGATCAAAACCTTTCAATGCGCCCACATGTCAATAGTATTTGTCGTAAAGCATCCTTCGCCCTGAGAAAAATTGGTAAAATTCGTAAATTCCTTTCCAAGTCATCCACTGAAATCCTCGTCCACGCATTTATCAGTTCACTCCTTGACAGTTGTAATAGCCTGCTCCATGGAATTCCGGAAAAAGATATGGCCAAGCTACAAAGAATCCAGAACTCTGCAGCACGTCTAGTGTCTCTTACCAAAAAACATGACCATATTACACCAACCCTTAAACAGTTGCATTGGCTCCCCATTCAATTTCGCGTCCAGTTCAAAGTTCTTCTTTTAACCTTCAAGTCTCTACATGGTCATGCCCCAAATTATCTTTCTGAACTGATTCAATTATACACACCCAATAGGCCCCTTCGTTCTGCAAATCAAACTCTCTTGACCGTTAACAAAGCAAAAAAAAAAATACTTTGGTGATAGGTCCTTTTCATGCTCTGCTCCACGTTTGTGGAACTCTCTCCCAGCCTCCATTCGTTCCATCTCAGATATTACTTTGTTTAGATCAAAATTTTAAAAAACCTACCTAATGGAAAATGGATACTCAACATAGTTCTTAAATTGTTACCTAGTTCTTAAATTGTTACCTCGTTCTTAAATTGTTACTTAGTTCTTAAATTGTTACCTTACCTTGTTATCTTAAGTTTCATAATTTCACTTCATATTTGTTTTCTTGTCATTACTCAGTTTAGTTTTATTTGTATTAATATTGTAAAGCGCTTTGATATAAATGTCTAATGAAAAGCGCTCTATAAGTAAAAGTTATTATTAAGTTATTATTATTCATAAAAAACGATGAAGCGGTCTGAGATTCCAAATTTTAGTTATACATATAAGTATATACAGTGTGAGTCAAAAAAAAGTTTACACCTAGAAAATTGCTAATTATTTAAAAAATCATCTATGAACAGTAAATGATTATACATCTTATGAAAGAGTGTTTTATCCCAAATCATTTGGTATCATTTTTGTGTGGTATGTGTTCACGCTTGGATGAACAGGAGGCATTGTTTGCGAGAGTGCAAAAAATCGATTTGCGCCAAAGTTGCTTGTGTGATGTTTGAATAAAACAATTGGGATTTGGGTATTAATTCGGTCTTTGCAGATCTAAATAACATCCCTAACAAAATTATTGATGCCACACATATCAAATATCAAATATCAACGTACATGTGTGCGTGTGTGTGTGTGTGTGAATTTGCTTCTGCAAAAAGCATATCCAATGCATTTCATTTGATACATTCAATTCATTCTCCCACTCCGCTAATCCCAACATAATACATGCTGTAGGCATGATAACTTTGGCGCAAGTCGATTTTTGCACCCTCGCAAACAATGCCTCATGTTCATCCAAGCGTGAAAAAATACCATACAAAAATGATACCAAATGATTTGGGATAAAAGACTCTTTCATAAGATGTACAAAACTTTACTGTTCATACATGATTTTTAAAATAATTAACAATTTTCTAGGTGTAAACTTTTTTTTGACTCACACGGTATAACCCTACATCTTGTATTAACAGGACAACTATATATCACCCTACATGGTGCATTAACCGGATATCATATAAACCGGTATATTACCCTAACCCTAACCCTAAATTAAAAAACAATATTACTAATTAAACCAGTGACTAATGATTAAACCTATTGTTTTTTGGGATGACTTTAGGTTTCCTCTGCCTGCAAACGTACGTTGAGGGCACTACTTCTATTGTTCAATCGTTAACAGGACACAAAACTGTCCTGCTAATAACCTTGTCTGCTTAATGACTAATTTGTTCACTACACATGTCCGTCTAATGACGCTGAAAGTGCAGCGTCATTTGAAGGACATATGTAGTGAATATATATATATATATACAATATGTTTTCTTGTTTTGATAAAGTGGGAATGAATCAGTAATGAAGGATTTACTGGACCGGAAATCAATTATGAGCACGAAACTTTCTAGGAGAGGCCAGTCACCAATAAGTATTGCACTAAGCTCTGGGAATGCCGATACTGCACGGGTTCTTCTTGATAAGGTACATGTAGCTTTTACTTATTCAGCTTGTTATGTTTATTCGTATGACTTCTGTCATATAGCTGATGCATTACCATCAGTACCATCGTCTCCCATACTATCCCACCCACTACCTCCACTTTTTACTCTTTATCAACATGTTCTTGTTACCCTGTACAGTTCTGCTGTTAGGCCTGCCGATAGTAATCCTAAATAAGTATCATCTCTTTTATAAGGTTATAACAAGCCAATAGTAAATGTATATCGCATTATTATATAATGATAATGATAATAATGAATGTTCAACAACAGAGTTTTTATTTGTATGTCTTCTATCTTTGTATGGATAGCGCTCAACATATCAGGTATATATAAATGTATATATGATTATATAAACTAAATCCAAATTCATAAAAGGTACATCACTATCGAGTGACAATATTTAAGTTCCATCAATTATTTCTTTTTCTTTTTCACAGGATAAATCATCTATACATCACAGCGACAGTGATGGTCTAACACCCGTTCACCTTGCTACTGTAAGCGGGCTAACATCAATCATTGAAAAGTTGATATCACTAGGTGCTGGTTTAAATCATCAGTCACACGATGGCCAGACGCCCTTACATGATGCCATCAGACTATGCCACTGTAAGAAAAGACAGGTTGAAGTGACGACAGCTTTGAAACAGGTTACGTATTTCTTGTTTTAGTTTCTCTCTTAGTGAGGACTGTTAGTCTTTCTAATCGACACACACACGCACACACACACTAACACACACACACACACGCACAAAAACACGCACACGCACACACATGTGTGTGCGCACGCGCGTGATTTCTTTACCTTTTTATTATCCGAATGTCTGAATAGGGAAGGACAAAGTCCTTGATAATGAACTTTATGAATATTTGTTAATATGGAATTCATAAAATGCATACACTCTCCGTTTATTTTATTGAATATACACTTTCAACGATCTTTACACCATTTTGATGCAGGAAAACTATGGTGAATGTGTGGGAGGGGGCATCGAACGAAGGTGCGGGGGGGGGGGGGTTGCTCAGTGCATTTAGTATATATATCTTGATTCTATATTAGTAGTAGTAGTAATAGTAGTAGTAGCAGTAGTAGTAGTATTAGGCCTATCATTATCATTATTATTACCGTTATCACTACCATTATTATCATCATCATGATTTCATATTGTAAGTCGATAGTGCCATGTGAATAGATTGTTGCAAGTATAAACTTAATACAAATATAATGCTCTTATTCCTTGTTCTCGTAAATGTTAAAAACTGGTTGAAATGTAGAAAAGGCATTCAATCTAGACAGTCTATTTTTGTTTGGTTGTTTATACTGACAATAATCTAGTTCTTTTACCATTTTATTAACAAAATAGATACAACAAGAGAGTGATGATGATGACATATTCCCCGCGGAGGCTTTGATACAATTCCTTATAAATGAAGGATCCAAGGTCGACATCAAGGATAAATACGGTTTTACCCCGATACAGTATGCCAGAGAGGAGCGTATTAGGCAAATGGTATTCCGGAGGTGAGAAAATAATAATGGCTTAACCAGGCTCTTTTAAATATGATTCAAGTTTAAATTATTAAAAAAGTAATGAAGAAACTTAAGTAAATTATCTGCGTAATTAAATATAATTATTGTATGTCTCCTCTGAAAGATTCGATGTAATTAATTGTTCATCAGTTTTGTCTACTAGCTCTTTCATTTTGCTGTAAACATCAGTCCCTAAACAATTATAATTGCGCATCCTGACATTTAAGTCAAAATAATAACAACAGTGCCCATACGTGATTGTAATATAACACACGATATACTACGGAGTAAAACATGGACGTATGGGTAGTTGTACATCACAATTATAAATAGACTCATACAACATAATTATGTTATGTTCCTTTTTGCAGCTTATCCGAAGATGATGTTCATACATTCCGTGGTACGTATTGCATCTGTATTTTGTCGGGTTTTACTTCTTAATAAGATTGTTATTCTTACAAAGATCAATTTATGAAAATGATATGTTTTATGCATACCACAAACATACAAATATTTAAACACGGCCAATAGTCACGTTTGCTGTACTTTGGCTTTGTTAATCCTAAATACATATTATAGAATAGATTATCCCCTTTTGGTATGAGAAAGGTAGATAGGGCGGCGTAATTCTGCCATCAAAATAGATTCGACGATTTGTTTACTTATCATCCGTATAGCGTTGATAAGACGATGTGCGCTTCAAGCTTTCCATTTGTGTGATATGTAATGACTAATCATCATGCTATCATCACATTTTAACATTCAGTGTTTCTTATTAACTTGTCCTCTTTTCCGTAAACATATAGATCTGCCGATTGCAAGATCTACTGAAACACATCGTAGTATTGGGTGTGAAGGCGGGACCCTACATCTGGATAGTTGTTGCGTCACAATGTCGATTCCACCAAGGACATTGCAGGCTGGCTCTTACCACGATGTATCTTTAGCTCTGGTTACTGATGATGCCCCACCTATCCGAGAGGGAGAGTTTCTTACAGGCCATGGCATTGGCATCACTTTCCCTGCACAGTGGCGCTATTCTCAGAACCAGCCTATAACGTTAAGTCTTCCTCATGCCGCAACATTTCTGGAGTCAACCGATGGTGATGCTGACATTATCTGGAAACAAACTGAATCAACATCAGGTTAATTGTACACAAAATACTAATTTTCGAACTTTGCTACGTTAAATACAAGCGGCTTCCATAGTTGGTGTAGTGAAAATGTAAATTGACAAATATATATTTTTTATCAAAATAAGAGATGCGCTGCAACCATTCATGATTATTTTACATACATTCCTCATTCACCTATTCATAGATTTTGCATTCATCGAATGTCCATTTGTTATCATCTTTGATTCCATTTTACCATTGGCCTACTTAGCGCGAATGTTGTAAACCAAACATTTAGCCCCCCCCCCTTCCCCCCAAACAAAATAAAAAGAAGAATTGTCAAAGTCATCACATCAACAAGTGTGTTACAAAAGAAAGCAAACAGATTTGTATTTGATTTTTCTTTGTTCTGTCAATATGCAATTATTTACAGTTAACCGTGATGATTGCTACGATGATAGTGATGCGAACTGTATCATTAAAGAAAGGGAAATCAACCTCGCCATAGGTGCCACATCTGTAATTAAGGACAAGGTACAGCTATGGATACCGATGAGGCTTCATGATCATGCTCTTGGTAAACAAATGGCGTGCACCCCTTTCCTTCCCGTTGACATGGCACATGGGGAAGACATGACACTCCGGATGTACATACATGAAGACATACCTTACATAGTTCAGGTAATATGAATTTATATATATATATATATATATGTATATATATATATAGATATAGGAGTTGGAAGGTTACACTTTATTGGTACGAGTTATACAAAGTGCTCCTACAGTTGAGCACTGTCAGAAATTGCAGTTTCACTAAACGTGCTTATATATATATATATATATATCAAGGATCTTTATTTAAACTGTTTAATCTACTATTTCTATACCAGTGGTAAACGAAATTCCGACCAAAGTAAGGACACCCTTATGAAAAGTATTGACCTATTCCAATGAAACCGCTTAGTACGCTACACTGTCAGCACGGTTATCATGTTGTAAATGTGTTGTACCTTTAAGCTTACCTTGAGCTCTGGTATGGGCATCGTATGTCGAGAGAATATAATTGAAACTGGATTGTTTATCCTGCAGTGGATTGATTGTTTGAACCAATAAAATGTATTTCCCATGATTACCAGAACTCAAGCTTATCTTGAAATATATCACGAAATATATGAATTATCTTTGTCAGCAAGTATTTTCTTTTTTATTCAATTTTGTAATTGGCTCCTCTTTTTACGGGTTTACTCACTTTTCTTGGATGATGTATAATAATAATAATATTCAGTTCTTGTACAGCGCATAATACGTTATGAAATAACATCTCTATTAGCTTCCGAAGAGCTTTGGAAATTATTACCATAGCGTTAGCTCCGGCAGCCGTTATCAGCGCACAGTGCATTTCAAGGAATAAACCTACGAGGTACCCATTCACCTCACCTGGGTTAAGTGTGGCAAATGTAGATCAATGTCTTGCCAAAGGATATAAGTGCCGCGGCGGGACTCGAACCGCGGACCTTGTGATTGACAGTCCGATGACGTATTCACTCTACCACAACATCTCTACGTATATGTATACAGGCCTATTTTTTATTTATAAGACAATATCTATTTCTACACTTTAGAAGATGGTGCACGGCTTAGCGTGAAATTGTCACTTATATTTTGTATTAAATTTAAATATCAGTATTTCAGAATGTCAGATTGTTTACTTTTATGGTACAAATGTCTCTTTTACAAAGTTTTATCCAGTAACTCAGTATCGGTCTATAAAAATATAAATGTTTAACCAAGGTGTCTCTGTGTTTGGCCTCCAATTTCAGGACTATCCTTTCGTTTAAAAGACTATTGACGTCACCTTGATCATGGTGTTTAATAGACATATATTATATCTTTTCGAAATTCCATGTAATTTTATTGTACAGACAAGAATTAATTCCTTTTGAGTACAGTATGATTCATCAAGAAAGTCAAAGTACAAAGTAAAATACAGTATATACAAATTTGAACAGTGTCCCAGATTCATATTTATAAAGTGGAGACCATGAAAAATATGACTTCATCTACATAGTTAATAACAAAATGATAGTTTCATTAAATTAAACATGTACCAAGTTTCGAAGCAAATATGTAAGAGCTGTTGAAGAGATTCCTATTAAATGCTACGTACTTTAAAATAATTGGACCAATTGTAGTAGGTTAAATATTTACATTATAACTATATGTATTTTTATCGTTATATTTATAAGATGTACTGTCACTGTAATCAGGGCTCAAATTAATTTTTTGTCCACGGGGGCTCTTCCCTCGAAAAAAGAGCCCCCGTGAGCCTTCTCACGGGGGGCTCTTTTAGTACTGACGGGGGCTCTTTTTTATACAAATATCCATTGAATTGGTACCTATGATACTCCTCAATTATTTGCTATTTCATCATTATCATTTCAATCAGCATTTTCCCTCTTACAAATTTACAAGCTACATAGCTGTTACTGGCCTGTGTATATAATATATACGCACTGATATTTATGATGTCTTTAACGTGACATATCTTCTTCTCCCCTTGCAAACGAAAAAGAAAACATGGTCATTAAAAGGGATTAAGCGACAAATAATGATTGTGATTCAAATTGATGCGAATATTTGTTTGAATAAGCACTGCTATTCACCCGAATCTTCTTTGTAAAAACAACTTTTACAAATCTCAGCCATGCTTACTGAGTTGAGACGTTCCATTCAATTTAAAATACCCATTACATAATACACTTCTCCTAATCTCAAAGTGATCTTACAGCACAGTGGCAGAATTGCATGGCTGAGATTTGTAAAAATCGTTTTTTTTAAAGAAGATTCTGGTGAAAAGCATTGCTTATTCAAAAAAAATCCTTGCATCAATTTGAATCACAATGATTATTTTTCGCATGGTCCTTTTATTAAATAACCTTGTTTTCTGTTTTGTTTGCAAAGGGAGAAGAAGCTATGTCACGTTAAGAAATCATAAAGATCAGTTGTATTATGCGTATATACATATGATACCAGAACAAATGTTGATTATCAGAATGTCATTTTGGAATACCTCTAGACAAATACCACATTGTCTTTAGCCCGTATCAGTATGATCCAATATAAAGCTTTTATTCTTTATTTAATTCAGTATAATGCTTTTCCTCAAAAATAGTTTTGCTATTTTTTTAGGGTTGAGACGCTAAGAAATGGTTTCAAATGTACATTACACGAACCCTGAACCATTGCAAAATGATGGTGGTTCTCTCTCTCTCTCTCTCTCTCTTTATTTTAATCATGCATTATCAACTACATATAAAGCAGCAACCAAAAACTTAAGGTTATCTGAGATAGGTGAAAGTAAGAGTTTAAAAAAAGTCATGCTAAAAAACGGCGCTTCACTTCCCCCCGCCTTCTGAAAAAAATAAAATAGATGTAGTCCTCCTCTCCAGAATCCCCCTCCCCCCCCCCCCCCCGCTTTAATATCACATTTTCACTTGGCAGCCCAAGGGGGCCGGGGGGGTGGGAGGAGGAAATTTGAAAAAGTGCAATACAAATTGTATAGCATATACTGAATAATGACTGCAACACACTTTTAGGCTCTGGAAGGCCCAAGAGTGCAGCGTTTAGACTAATAAAATTGCAAAAAAAATCTCGCTCGGTCGCTACGCTCCCTCGCATAACATCCTCGTTAAAAAAATTCGCATTTCGTCCCCCCCGGTCATTAACAGAAATCGCCGCCCCTGATTTCACGACATTTTGGTCTTCCTCTTCTCCTCAAAAGGGACTTTTAGATTTGCGTGGACGTGGACGTTGACGTGTTACGTCCTTTTAAGGCACTAGCTGGCAATCACATGTGACATCCTTTTAAGCACTTGCAGTGCCTTAAAAGGAGGTCACACGTTGCAGTCCACGTTCTCATCGTGCAAATCTAAAAGTCCCTAATATTGATTTACTGGTCGAGGTTCATTATTTGATGACAACGAAAAACTTCTCCAGGCCATGACCATGTTTCTGCCCTTGCCCGATCGCCTCCAGCTCCAGCAGACATGGCGCGGCAGCGTGCACACGCACCGCTACTAACGGCGCAGTAGGCCTATAACCACTGCTGACGGCGGCACTGCACTGCGAGCTGAATCGGTAATAATAGGCCTACTCATAAAACGAGAAATCTTGCACACTAATCTTAGTTCCATTTCATTGGTTTAAGGTTTGAAAATTGAAACTCAATATTGTGTTAAAGTTTTAACAGAAAAGATTATCTTTATTTTATAATTCCACCGGGGCGATTTTTAATTTTGCAATCGCCCCCGTGAGCAACCTGACGGGGGCGATTTTGTAGCTTACGGGGGCGAATCGCCCACCGCCCCCGTGTATTTTGAGCGCTGACTGTAATTGTGTATATATCTTTTTTGTTTTGTTTTTAACAGAAAATTCAAGAAGAGGAGGAAAATGTGCTTTACCGTCAAGTACATCCTGGAAGATGTTTTGCACTTGAACCTAAGTCAAGTGACCTAGAGCTGAAATGCAATGGAGGGGAAAAGGTAAATAATATTCTACAAGGATTGTTAGGTTGGAATTTCTGCACTCAAAATATAATTTATAGATGTACTTGGTAAAAGGCATTAGATGCAAATAAATTTCAGGCCTACTGTAAACGGCCTGTCAATGCCGAGTCAACTCATAGTAAAATTTGAATAGGCTATGCCTCTATTTTAGGCTTTGTCCTTGTGTACATAATATATATTAATATATGTATATATGCACGTGTAAGTCACAAACAAAAATTGTTATTAATTAAGGATGTTTGTCTTGCGCTGCATTTGCTTCTGGCTTGAGGCAAAAGTAAAGGGTAAGTGTCAGGGTTGCATCTGGATTTTTGGTTAGGTCTAGGGTAAAGTTTAGGGTTATGGTTTGTTTCAGTTCGAGTCCATGGCTGAATTCGATTAGTGCTGGAAATTATAGAGGATCAATTGACACAGGAGCAAGTGTTGTAAATCCGTCCACAGCATCTTCAACATTGCGCCAATTCTATTCGGAGAAATAAAGACTAAAAATTGTAAATATAATATTTGTTTAGATCATCTCTGCGACAGATTTATTCAACCGGCAAAAGACGTTATTTTCGATGCCAATTACGACGGAAACCAATGCCAAAACGCAGATGATCAACATTTCGATTTCAGCAACAAGTACCGATCAACCTCTAACCAACATGGCGTTCATGGCTATACAGACTGGTTTGTCAATCTTCTTCTTCTCCTCTTCTTTCTCCTCCTTCTCCTACTTTGTCTTGGTCCTCTTTTTCAATTACTATTTCTCCTACTTCATATTCTTTGAATTATTCTCCTCTTTTTTCCTCCTCTTTTTCCCTCCTCGTTTAAAAAAGGTTGAATAAACAACAGCATTTATTGTTTAAACATGTTTCGATTCTATCATTTTCATGAAATTCAGGATCACTGCATGTCTGTCATAATGTAAATATTCTAAGATATCTCATTTTTTGACAAAAACTTCTCCGTGGGTGTTGTTGTAGTAGTAAAACAAAATATTGCACGCTTCCTTCAAGAAACGTGTTCCAACGATAAAATGGTTTCATTAGGAAATGTTGTCATTTTCGTCCAAGGATTCTCCACCGACATACGCTCAACCCTAGACGAGATGGTCCCTGGATCAAATACTGACCTCAGGTAATATTAATCTAAAAAAAAAAAATCGTTCCATTCACAAATTATTGTGTCAATTCTTTATTGCTCATTACTACCTATGCCTTTTCCTCGTGTGACATTATTATTTTTTTTTTTACTAGTATTTAAATATTACGATAACAAGATGTTATAGTCGATTGTGTCAGCGAAAGAATGTGAACACCATTACACGAAATAAATTGATAAATGTATTACCGTATTATTGAAAGAACTAATAGAGGAAAAATTAAAAAAAAGATCGGGATGGTATGTGATAAAATTATCTAGCCTCACTAATCAATTAATAATGGCATTGTTTCTCTCTTCTTCGGTATTTCCATTGATAGCAACGCTGAAGAAATTCGGAGTGAGGATTTCATCATAAAAGAGATGAACACTGATCAGTACTACCATCTTGGTATAGCATTGGGTTTGTCCTACCAGAAACTTGACAGCATACAGTTCAGATGCAGACAACATGAGGAGGCTGGGGTTTATACCCCAAATCAAAAGGCTGTTATCACCATGATCCGCTATTGGAAATGTTTGCAGCATTCCGTCTCCCTAGCAGACGATCATCTAAGGGAAGTGTGGAAGTCCGTGAGCGAGTCAGGTGCCCCTGATTTAGCCTCTGTTTTGAAACAACGACGGGGAGTGGGTAAGAACGCACTAAATTTCGAAACACAATTAAAATCATCCTAAAACAGACCAGATGATTAATTGAACCTTTCAAACGAAAATGAGGGATCGTGCAATACAGTTTATTCTTCAAATTTAATTGATAAATAAGGTTGAAAAACATTTTGACATGGTCTTTATATTTCTACCTTCCCTCTAAAGAAAATAAACAAATGTGGAAGACTTCTTCGAAGGAGAATTCTCTCGTAAAGAGCCAAGGATCATCCCGACAGCAGGCCTACATGCTTATGAGGTGGAGGTGAGTGGCGATAACGTTGCCATCAGTATTAACTACCATAGGAACATTACCCAACAGCCAATCGAATCAAGGTTTCCATGAAATTTACCATTAATAACAAAATTACCATCAATCGTAGGCTTTAGGAAACGGTGCAAAGATCGTATTCACTTATTCGTAGTCTAAACATTAGTCTAGTCGTTACCAATGTGTAATTATGCATACATAGGCCTGCTAAGCAGACAACCACATATGCAACATTTACACATGTGACATGGCAGAAAGATAATCTCCGATTTAGCTAGGAACCTTAATAATTCGTAGGCGTGCTGATGTACTATTAATTTATCTTGCATTCATGTAGATGTGGATCTAGTATAGACACTGAATTTGATATAATAGTTAGGATCATGTATGATCTATAAATTCGTTTGACACTAAACTGTCCCAAATAACATAGCAGGCGTCTTAAGTATGAATTTCATAGGAGACGCAGCAAAGGGGATGTCATGACCTGTACTATAGATCCTCATGTCAACCCTTCGATGAAACATGAAAGGCTACTCCACCGGGCTACGATCCCGAGTGAGTGAATGTCAAGAAATAATTCATATATAAAATATCAGTCCTAGAGTAAATATGGATAATCACTGCAATATCACAGATATTCAAAACAACATCTTGTTCTCTCCCTCGCATTGTACCTTTCTCTGTCAAATTTATGTATCCTTCATTTTGCACGTTTACTTATATTGTTTTATGCTTTGAGAAATATTGAATAAAGACTTCATTTGGAAGGGGGAAATATTACTAGTATTACTGTAATCCAGTTAAATATGCCTGTACTTGGCAACCGGTGATGATTATATTCCCCTTCAAAGATGCCAGGAGCAAGGAGGCATTGGGCAGAGAGGCTTCATCATAAGCGATCTAATACTCCTAGTGTCAGAAGCGACTCGTTAAGCAGGTAAAACATTACTTTGAAATGCATTTCAATAATTGTATTAGTTTGTAGCTTCTATCAGGTACATGTGAACTATAATGGCGTTATTGCCTTTTTGCTAAAGGACCGTGTTTTTACCTAAAATAAGTGCAGATTAAACGCGTTTTGAAGGAGAATGATTACAGTTCCAAGGTGGATTTGGCGTTTATTATGATTTCCAATAAAACTCTCTGTGACACGAGACGAAAAAACCCAATACATTCAGATAACAAAATGAAAGGTAAAAATAATTGAAGGGCCTCAGGAAGAAAATCAATGAGCCTAATTAGGCTTCCAATGGTAAAAAAAAAATGTTTAGTAAAATTATTATCATAATCATTCTTATCATTATCATTATAGTTATTTTTTCATTTTGTTATTGTTACATTATCATTATTATTAGTAGTATTAGTAGTAGTATTGCTATTGATGTTGTTATTATTGTTATCACCGTTCAGTTTCAGCACGTTGCTAGAGGAGGAGGATCACTTTCCGAAACGTTGTAAGTTGCCCTGTCTTGTAATAAATTTCTTCTTCTAATTGTTGAATAACATTGAATGAAAAGGGTGTAATATAGCCTAATTGTTCATTAATACTTAAGTCTATTCAATAAATTGGAAGTATTTCTCATGAGCATGAGATAGGCTCGCTTGTATCAAGCTATAATATGCCATTTTAACATTCAATAATAATAATGTTAATATCTGTATGTTCATTTCAGATCACGCCCACATTCCCGGTTTACCTCGTGTGCATAAACGGACCTTCTCAACTTCTAGGCACAAACGTGAGAGGGTTAAAAGGTATATTGTCTGCCTTTCTCTTGTTTCCCATGGGCTTACCCTGATCAATAAATTGTAATAATAATTGCAAAAACTGATTTCAATTCGTTTATTTCCAAAAAAAACCATAACAACAATTAAATATGTAAAACAGTGTAGAAAAAATAAATAAATTAAAACATGCAGTCAAGGACGTTACATAACGTATACTTGAGTATATATGGAGGGACTAGCAAAGACCGACGGTCTGTCGAGGTCTAATCACTAGCAAGGTTGGGATAATACTTGCCTGTACTAATTTCTTTATTTATGTTGACAACTTCTGCAGCTTCTTTGATATCTTTTTGTTTAAAAAACTACTGGATAGTCATATAAATGTCAACTTGACGATCAACTGAAAAAACGGATCTGTTTTCTTCTTTAAAAGGATAAAATGTTCCCGTCTTAATGAAATAATCTTATTAGAAGAAACGTGTCTTTAGTCTGTACCTGGATATTGCTTACAATGTCCCTACAATTTTGGACTTTCATTTTAGATATCTGAGTATTGACAAGCTTCATGAAGATGAAGGTAGGCTTCCCCTTTTTATCTGTAATATATATATATATATATATATATATTTTTTTTTTTTTTTTTTGGGGGGGGGGGTTGTTGTTGTTGTTGTTCTGTTTTTGTTTTGTTTTGTTTGTTTGTTTGTTTGTTTTTTGTTTGTTTTTTTGAGGGGGGGGGGCAAGTAAACAAATAAATCATGTTCCAAAGCACAGTAATTGAATCATGTTTACATACTCGTTTTCATACAATATATTAATGAAACGACAATTTATAAATGCCGCTAAGTAAAAATAAAATGCAAAAATGTATTGAACAACATTTTCTTCTATGTTTTATTGCAATGACGAATATCATCATTGCCTTGTTTTCGTTCACATTCTGCCCAATTAATAATCTTCTTTTTCTCTTCTAGATTTCCCTTTCGTTTTTCACGTAGGGCTTGTTATTCCTAGTTAGGTCCTTTACTCTTATTCTTTTCCTTTCAAGCATGTCGTTAAGGTCACTACGTACTTCGATTTTCAAAATCACTCATGTATAACCGTCCAGGCGCCATTTTGTCCGTTCCTGGGCCGTTTTAAGGCCTTTCTTTCTTCCTTCCTATCTCCACTATCCTAGATCCTACAGAGTTTTAACAAATTCCTTTAAATAGTCCAAGAGATGTCCCTTCATCAGCTGTAAATAACCTCCCTTTCAAAATGCCATCTTCGTACCCGAAATTAAAATCCAAAACCGACCCCGTCAACAATCTCTAAAAATGCTTAAAAAATGGACCCTTAAAAATCTAAAATTGCCATAACTTGCTTATACCAATTTCGTTTTGTCTCAATTTCTCGCAGTATTTTTCTCTCGTAATTGCACATAGCCGTACCAAGTTTCACGCTCCAATGAATATGCACAAAATAAATAGCGCCCTTTAAAGTTCTGGGAGTTGGCTTCTTTCAGCGGCTCCATCGTTTCCGGCCTAACCCATACCTTTGTATGGATTTAGATACTTGAAGAAAAGCTCTTTCCAGCCAAATAAAACAATATGTACCCTAAACCTGACCTACTTCGAGAAAATTGCCCTCAAAATATGCAGTCTACAAGAAAATAGCGAAATAACTTCAACTTGCTCTAAAATGGCGGCCTTTATATCTACGTCAATAAAACTTGACAGACACATTAATCCATATATGTGACAGCTGTCTGCAAAGTTTGGTTAAATTTGATGACGTCAGCGCACAATTATTGCCCAAAATGATGAATTTGTTATGCATTACGTAACAGCCCGTTAAATGCGTGCAGTACGTTGGACGCAGATGACAATGGTGTCAAACTGTCCGCAATGAAGGGTTCTTTCGAATGACACCAAATACGTTATATATGTTATTACAGAAATATTTGAGTAAATTGCGTTTGAACAACGGGTACTATACAAATTCTGCTGAGTTTCCGCCAAGTTATAAAACGACTATCGGCTATGACTTCATTTTTCAGACTGCTTTTCGCCCCCTTCCTGTTTCGGGCCGTTTTGGTGGCCTTTCTTTCGCCCTACCTATCTTCACTATCACAGAAGCTACATACTTCTTTCAAATTGCTCTGGGTAGTCCTAGAGAAGCTCTTTCGTTTGAACCGTAGAAACATGTGCGTCATTGCACGCACATCGTTGTGACACGATGACATGTCTAGTTCTTTTTGCAATGACGAATATCGTCATTGCCTTGTTTTCGTTCACGTTCTTCCCCATTAATATTCTTCTTCTTCCCAGGAAATCGCATTCGTTTTGCACGTAGTGTTTGTTATTCCTAGTTAGGTGCTTTCCTCATGTCCATTTCCGTTCAAATTTCATAGGCATAGTCTCTAGCATCTCATCAAGATCACCTATTTTTCTTGATTTTCGAAATTACTCATGCATAACCATCCAGGCGCCATTTTGTCCGTTTCTGGTCCATTTTAAGGCGTTTCTTTCTCCCTTCCTATCTCCACTATCCTAGATCCGACAAACTTCTAACAAATTCATCTAGATATTCTAAGAGATGTTCTTTCATCTGCGACAAATAACTTGACCTTCAAAATGCCATCTTCGTACTCAAAAATTAAATCCGAAACCGACTCCATCAAAAATCTCTCAAATTCTTGAAAAATTGACCCCTATAAATCTAAAACTGCCATAACTTTCTCATATAAATTCCGTTTTGTATTTAAATCGCACAGTATCTTTATCTCATAATTGCACATAGCCATGCCAAATCTCACGCTCCAATGGCTATGCACAAAACAAATAGCGCCCTCTAAATTTCTGGGAATTGGCTTTCTTTCTGTGGCCGTATCTCCATTATGGCTTGGCAGACCCGTACCATTTTTTGGATTTAGATACTTGAAGATATGCCCTTTTAAGTCACATATGAAATTATATACCCTATCTTTGACCAAATTTGAGAAAATTGCCCTCCAAATTCGCCATTTTCAGGAAAATTGCGAAATAACTTCAACTTGCTCTAAAATTGCGATCATTATACCCACAACAATGAAACTTAATAGACATATGTGTCAATATACGTAACAACTGTCCGCTAAGTTTGGTAAACTTTAATGACGTCAGCGCAAATTTATCGCCCAAAATGATGAATTTACTATGCATTACGTAATAGCGTGTTTAATGCGTGCAATACATTGCGTGCCAATGACAATGATGTCAACCTAACCGCAATGAAGTGCTCTTTCGAATGATACCAAGTATGGTACATGTTCACTCAGAAATTTTAGAGTAAATCGCATTTGAACAAGGGTCACTATACAAATTTTGCCGAGTTTCCGCCCGATTATAACACTTATCCCCCATGACGTCTTTTTTTTAGACTGCTTTTCGCCCCCTAAAAATCCTTTTTGCAGTGACATTTCGAGTTGCAATACGCAAGGCACCTTGAAGCCGTACTTTTAAAATTGGTCAAGGGGGTCATTTAAGACGCCATTTTGTCCTTTAAATCTTTTTTGCATCACGTGTTTCAATAGGATTATCATAGCAAAACATAAAGTGGTTTACAATAACCACCATGAAATTCTCTTTCCAATAATACCAAATACGGCCCATAAAAAGACATAAAGAGAGAGAGAACAAAACAATTTAAATTCGGTCATAATGCAGATCCTGTACGTTTCCGCCCATGCATTACACGCATTGTCTATGGGACAAATCGGGTACACGCTTTTGGCCCCCAGAACGATCTATGTGAATTAATCGCATTTTAGACACTATATCATACTGTTTATAATTATGTTATCATACGACCGTTAGTGCCAAATCGCACGTCATTGCACGCATATCGTTATGCCACGATTGCAGGTCTAGTTTTATATTGTAAACATTTTCATAACAAAGTCCAACAACCTCAACGTTGATACTTCTTTTTTAGAAGTAGCATTTTATTTCTGGTTATGGCGCTTTATAAATCCAGTCATTATAACTAGAAGTGTATCTAAAATCATTTACAGAAAAAGAGCATTCCAAGCAAGCCATTTTGGCATGGATGGAATCTGGAGAAGGAGTACAGCCGGAGGATTTTAGACAGCATGAGTACACCGCAACACCTTTAGATGACGAGGGACAGATAATAGGGTCCATTCATCATATCTCTTCACCGAGCGCCCTCCAGGATGTTATTGAAGTAACAATTCCACCAAATGAACCTTACAGCACAACAGATGTGACTGTCGAACTGATTGATGACATTCCAGCATCAGCAGCAGCCCGTGAAGTTTCTACTTCTAGAGACAGGTTAGAATACCTTTGTAATCACTCAATAATTTTGTTTCTTCTTCATTATTCTTGATCAAGATCCCATGTATGGGATAGGCCAAAACTTAGGGAATAATTTCCTTCGGTAAAATGTTCTAAGATATCAACTATATTCCAGCGTATATCAAAAGTGAAAAATCGAGAATTGTTTGCATTCTGCTACTACGGAGTTGCAATGTCTTTATGAACGCCCATTGTGACTAAAATTTAGATTTGTATTAAAAGGTGTATGAGTAAGTCCCTCTTATGAAACAGTAGGGCAAATGAAAATGGAATATATTATTTTGTAAGAATTTGAAGAAAGTACATTTTACATTTCCAGACGAAAATTGAACATTTCCGAGTACTCGGATCAACCACGCTAAAACACACCAAAGTGTTAAAGTTGGCTTTTATATTTTGTCCGCCCCCCCCCCCCCTTCAAAAAATCTTGATGACTTTACATGCATAAATGAATAAAATAACTAAATTGAAAAAGGATGCTTCACAAGGCTTCCAATATTCGAAGAGAGATCGAAGTTGTAGCGAGGAACCATTTGATATCCTAAATATTTGGAGGATGAATGTTCCAAAGGCCTTGAAAGCTAACAAAGGGATAACGGCCCTTAACGTACATATTTGATAGGCCTTTGATTTGTAAATATGTTCCCTGATGCTCCCCCATCACAATTGT